AAATACGTATTTGGTGTGTTTACGTAGGGCTGGTTTTGCATTCAGTCTTTATATAATAACTAATATAAAAAAAAATCCTAATTATTATAAAAATTCAACTTCCCCCTGCACAAGAAACCTCAAGCAATCCCAGACAAAACCACTAACCCTGTCAACAGTTTGAGGAGAAAACACTACTGGTATAAAAGACAGCTCTTGAATATGCAATTCCAATGTTGGAATGCAGTTGTTGTTTGGTAATTTCCAAACCATTCTGTATTTGTGAGAACGCTGCAGCTTTGCTTTACAGAGTTAGGAATACTAGGAATACTTAAAAGGAAGACAGTTGGTGAATATAACATAAATACACCATGACAAACTGGTATTTATTGGACAAATAGTCATTAAAAGGTCAAGATCTGGGAAAGGGATGGTTTGCCATGGAGCTACTATGGGATTTGCTCTTTCTTTTTAAACTACACCAGGATTTTGGGACACTTATCTTAAGACAGATTTTCTTTGTTTCACCATATTCTCAAAATTACTGCTGTTTTTTTTTTTTTAATTTATTTTTATTTTTTATTTTAAAATTTTTTTTATTTTAATTTTTTTTTCCCCAATACGTCATGTTTTAACCCCAGATGGCAGCTGAACACCACACAGCCTCTCCCTCATTCCTCTCTCTCTCCTGGAAGGGAATTGTACCAAAAATGGCACAGTTTTGGTAAAGATATCTTGTAAAATTTTGATAAAGAACAGTTTAATAGCTGAAAGAAATAATAGTTAAAAACACATGTCTGATTTGAGACAATAAATAAGAATAAAGTAAAAATTACGGCTAATGAGTGAGAAGTGCGCAGGCACAGATGGCCTCAAGGTGTGCCCCTGGAAAAATAATTAACAATCTTAACTCAAACTCTACATCCTCCATTAATTCTTCCAAAAAATACTCCAATAACCAAAACTATTACTTTACCACCTCATACAACAAAACAAATCATGGTAATAATAAATCAACAAATTTTACCTATCAACAAAAAAATATATAATATATATATAAGCAAAAGCAAAAATAATATATATCTATATATAAAAATATATAATATATATAATATATATAAATATATAATATATATAAATATATAATATATATAATATATATAATATATATAATATATATAATATATATTATATATTTATATATAATAATGTTTATTTATATATAATAATATTTAGTATATATATCAACAAAAAACAAAAATCTATTTATTTTAATATATATTTATAATAAATATTTAATATATATGTAATATATTTTAATATATATTTATTTTATAGATATTTATTTAATATATATTTAATATATATATATTTATATTTTTGTTGTTAGGTAAAATTTGTCGATTTATTATTGGTATGAATACCTATCAACATTCATACCACCTAAATAAATAAAGCATAATCAACCAATAATCACCTACAACTTAACATGCAACAACAAAATAATTTCGCTCAAAAACATATTGAACACGAAAACAAGTATCACAATAATTTCATACATTTTTTAATAATAATAAAAAAAACCTTTAAAAACACCCTTAAATACCCTGTCAAACATTAAAAAGGGACACCTTCCATTATCCCAGGTGCTCCAAGCCCTGTGTCCAACCTGGCCTTGGGCACTGCCAGGGATACAGGGACAGCCTGTGCCAGGACCTGCCCACCCTGCCAGGGAAGCAGAAAAGAGTTGTAAAAGGATTAATTTTTGCTTTTTGGCCTGGTTAGTTTCCGAGAGGGAGGATGGTGCTGGAACTGAGACAAGATTTTTGTGTGTTTTAAGGCCAGTTTTCTGCCCGTGCTCCCGTAGCACTGTGAATCAGAGCAGCAATGATGTGTTAGATTTAAAAGGTGATGTGTTCAGTGCTGGTACCTGTGAAGTGGCCGGCACCTCACGCTTTGGTTGATTCAGGAAGCTCCGTGGTGACCTGAGATGACACTGGGAGGTGACTGCAAACAGCTGGAAATGATTTGTGCTCTGTGTGCCCGAGGAGACGCAGCCACAGGGATGAATTATCCATCCTGGTGCCATGCTAACCCAGCCTGTGCACAATTCCTGCAGCACAGCTGTCACAAAGCATCACCTGGGATTTACCTGTGGCCTGCCATGTATTGTTTATGCTACTTTCTCTGCCCTCAAAGGACACATTTTATGCACATTTTGGCCCCTGCTGGTTTGTATTTCAGAGTTTTTGTTTCTTGGCTTTACTCCCAAGTGGATGAAGAATGGATTTCCCAAGTGGGAAATGGATGCATGTGGATCGAATCTCAAGGCATCACCAGAAAGCCCCTCTGTACCTCTCCCTCCATTTATTTAGGAGCCAAGAGTGCTGAGCAGTGGACAGTGACATCAGTGACCTCACTAACTGTGTGTTTAGAAAAGTGTGTGACACTTCTCTCCCTTCCCTGGGCTGCTTAAATTTTTTAACTGAGCCGTGTGTCTCTTCTGGTGTAATTGCTCTAACTTTAGCATCATGCATTGCTGGTGCTTCTCAGAAAATTTAGGGGTTATCTTCAAGTGGTTTTTGCTTAATCCTACATTCCCTCATCTCATTTTTCAATCTGGGATTCTCACATAAGCATCTTTACTCCCCCTTAAATTGGATAGAAGCCGCTCAACCGAGGACAAGCTGTTGGGGGATTTCTCAGATGAGCAGATACCCTCTGCATCCCAGAAGGAGAAATGAATTAGGATGGCAAATCCTTTTTAATGATTACAATGCTAAAGCCCCAATCAATCCCTAATGTCTGGAATGCCACAGGCAGGAGCTCCTCATCAGCAAAGTGAAGCTTCACGGGTGGTGCCATCAGCAGGTATCAGGGCAGGACTGGGTGTCTGATGCTGCAGGTTTGTGTATGGCTGTGTCCTGGCTGATATTTAAGGGTTTTGGAGTGATCTCCAAGGTCCCTTCCAGCCCAAACCATTCTATGGATCCGTGATTCTTAGGGGTACCAGGGTGTCTGACCCACAGATCTCTTGAGGACGACTCAGAGCCAACCCCCTGTAGTCACAGTGAGTGTGGGGGCTTTGGTGTCTGATCTGAAAAACACAGACACTGCAATTCTCTGAGTATTTCACAGCTGGAGCCTGGCCTAGAGCTTCCCACTGCACCAGGGCACGGCTGGATGGGGGATTGGGAATCTGGAATTGCTCCTTGGGAGAGTGGGCAGGTCCTGGCACAGCTGGGGCTGCCCCTGGATCCCTGGCAGTGCCCAAGGCCAGGCTGGACCTTGAGGCTTGGAGCAGCCTGGGACAGTGGGAGGTTTCCCTGCCTGTGGCACTGGATGAGTTTTGGGATCCTTTTCAACCCAGACTGTTCAGTAATTTTAGAATTCAAAGCACTGAAACAATTGATCCATAAAGCTGGAATGCACGAACTGCATTAGTGTTGAAGAAAGGAAACTGCTTCCAAATATTTGGCTCCAAAGCTGGTAGTATCTTGCTTTCACATCAGTTAAGTGAAGATATGTAACATACATATATCTATCTCATCTTTATAATATATAGGTGACATATTATAAGACTTCAGAATAAATGCAGTTCTTTCTGTGAACAGAAGGAGAAATTCCAGAGCTCCTTGTAAACATCACCCTCACCTCCCTTTAAGGCAAGGGTTAAAGGGAGGTGAAGTGAACCTCGGTGTGAATTTAGAGCTCGTCTGATCCTGTTCGTTTTTCCCTCTTTGCAGGCAGCTCTCACCCGGGCACAGTTTCCCAGACCAAGTGAACATTGCTTCAGCGCGGGGAGCGGGGCTGGAGCTGGGAATGGAGCTGGGAATGGAGCAGGGGATGGAGCAGGGGATGGAGTGGGGATGAGGTAGAGGATGGAACAGGAGATGGAGGGGAGGATGAGGCAGGGGATGAGGCAGGGCATGGAGCAGGGATGGAGCGGGAATGAGATAGGGAATGGAGCCAGGGATGGAGCGGGGGTGGAGCAGGGATGGAACAGGGGATGGAGCCGTGGATGGAGCAGGGATGGATCAGGGGATGGAGCCGTGGATGGAGCAGGGATGGAACAGGGGATGGAGCCGTGGATGGAGCAGGGATGGGACAGGGGATGGAGCCGGGTGAGGCAGGGATGGATTAGGGGATGGAGCAGGGATGGATCAGGGGATGGAGCCGTGGATGGGACAGGGGATGGAGCTGGGGTGAGGCAGGGATGGAACAGGGGATGGAGCAGGGATGGATCAGGGGATGGAGCCGGGGATGGAGCAGGGATGGATCAGGGGATGGAGCCGTGGATGGAGCAGGGATGGATCAGGGGATGGAGCCGTGGATGGAGCAGGGATGGAACAGGGGATGGAGCAGGGATGGGACAGGGGATGGAGCTGGGGTGAGGCAGGGATGGAACAGGGGATGGAGCAGGGATGGATCAGGGGATGTAGCCGTGGATGGAGCAGGGATGGGACAGGGGATGGAGCCGTGGATGGAGCAGGGATGGATCAGGGGATGGAGCGGGGTGAGGCAGGGATGGAACAGGGGATGGAGCGGGGTGAGGCAGGGATGGAACAGGGGATGGAGCCGTGGATGGAGCAGGGATGGATCAGGGGATGGAGTGGGGTGAGGCAGGGATGGATCAGGGGATGTAGCCGTGGATGGAGCAGGGATGGAACAGGGGATGGAGCGGGGTGAGGCAGGGATGGATCAGGGGATGGAGCGGGGTGAGGCAGGGATGGATCGGGGGATGGAGCCGTGGATGGAGCAGGGATGGAACAGGGGATGGAGCAGGGATGGGACAGGGGATGGAGCCGTGGATGGAGCAGGGATGGAGCAGGGATGGATCAGGGGATGGAGCGGGGTGAGGCAGGGATGGAACAGGGGATGTAGCAGGGATGGAGCAGGGATGGGACAGGGGATGGAGCCGTGGATGGAGCAGGGATGGATCAGGGGATGGAGCGGGGCGAGGCAGCGCTCCGCCCGCAGCCGCCCCGCCCCGGGCGCTGATGCGCAGCCGGGCTGCTCGGGGCGCGGAGCGCTGCTCGGCTGCCCATGGACCGGAGCGCTGCCCTGCGGCTGCTGCTGCTGCTGGGCTCTGCCGGGCTCGGCGGCTCCGAGGAGAAGGAAAACCCCGGGGGGAACAGGTCGGTACCCGAGAGAAAAGCCGGCGGGGAACAGGTCGGTACCCGGGCGAGCGCAGGTTTCGCTTCAGGATGCGAGGACGTGGTATGGTTTCCTTTCCATGTTTGAAAACACCCGGGGCTAACGCAGAAATTAATTATCCTGAAGCAGGCGGTGCGCGAGAGATGTAACTTCAAAGCAATTTTGCGAGCGTTGTTTAAAATCGGATGTTTTCTGTCCGTCCGCCCTAAGTTTCATTTTGTTTCATTGACTCCCATGCTGACTTTCCCTGGGAAAAGGGATTTATAAATAATATAACGGCAAGGATGTGAAAACTACTTCAAAAAAAAAACAAACCACAGGCACAAAAATATTGTGCTTGTGTGGAATATTTGAAGCGTGAATTCAATATTGCAAGTGAGTATTAAACTTTAAAAATTACTGGAGATTTGGGGTTATTATTAATAGTGCTGTTTCACTCTCTACTGAAATACAATGAGCCCAGATCATAGCAGGGGGAAGAGGGGGCTTTGTAGAGCCAAGCATTAAGAAAGTGAAAACAACCTGACCTGTACGAGTTGAATAATGCCCAAATTCACCAAAAACAGACACAAAACCACAGAACAAACATGCTGCTGAAGGTCGCAGCTGTCAGTAAAATCTGTGCATTTGAAGCAAGAAGGACATGTGGTGATTTGCTTAAGCTTGTATTAAGTGATCTGGTAGCCAGTTACTGATAAATACTACAATATGTTTTCATTAAATAGCTTACTTGCTATTCTCCTCTGCCAGTTCTCAGATTTCTTACTGCTCTTCTTAGTAAAATTTCACCTCTTTGTCTTTCAATCAGATCAAAATCTGACAGATAACAAGGAGTGGAGCATTACCTGAACTTTATTAAATAAATGAACTTTATCAAATAAATACTTTATTAAATAAATATTAACAGATGAAGTAATGATCTTGATGCCAGTGAATCAAATGGGAATTTTGTCTCATTTGGAGTGGGATTTTTGCCTGCACAGTGTTAATCTACTCGAAGTTTTATGAGCTCAGATTCTCTTTTTTGTGTTAAAAATGGAAGCTTGATTGTCATCTTGCTCTGATCCAGACCTTGTTGGACATCCATTAAATTGCAAATCAGCCCCAGAAATCAGTGCTTTGTCAAATATTTATGGAAATCTGTCTCCCTGTGTCAAATAACGCATTAAAAAACCAGAAAAGCTGGGAGGTTTGTAGATGTTTCGTATCGATAGAACTTACACAGAGGCACGTAAAAGTTAGTGATGTTTTTTGTCAGGATGTTTCTTAGGAGGCAGCTCTTTCCTTGAAGCTGGTCTCTCCAAATTTATGCGTTTATAACATTAATAATGTCACTGAAATTCCTTATGTTGAGTGTCCTTAGGACTACAAGCAGTGCATTGCCCTCACCTTTCATAATTTTATTTTTAGTGCATTTCAGAGGTCACATGTTATTTTCCAATTGGATGTCTCATAAATTAGCTGTAACCGGTTCAGCAGCCAGTGAGGAATTCTGCAGCTGGAGATTATCAGTCTTAGGGAGATGACCCTGCAGTAAGGGAAACAGAGAAATGCTGTTTCTGTAGATGTGGAGTGCATTTTCCCATCTGTGCAGTTTATCAGAGCAGTGATATGGAGAGTAGAAGTGTGGACAAGGCATGAGAACTGCCTGTGGCCTCCACACTCAATCCCTGCTGAGTGCCAGGATTATTCATGTGGTTATTTGAGTGGAGAAAATGCTGTTTACATGGAAGTCCTCAAGAGCTGGAGTTATTTATCAACTTCTGCGGACAAACAAGAATCGTTGTCTTATATAGATGGATAATGTCATCTGGTAAGAGGAAATTTACACTTCTTTATACTTATAATCTTATTTAATTGGATTTTACATAGTGATTAGTCATTCCAGTGCTTTGTATTAGGGATAATCCAATTTCATGTGGGTTCTTAACATGCTTGGTGTGGTAAATTCAACATACAACATACGTGCCTGGGTGCATCTGGGAGAGCTGTTTACCAGTGGGTAGGGGAAAATATGGCTCATCAAAACATACACCATTTGTGATCAAAATAATTTGAAATTTCAGAGTAAGAAGGGCTGATAAAAAAGTCTCTAACTCAGCATGCTAGAAGTTATTTGCTGTGGAGAATGCTCCAGTGCTGGCTGGTTTCTTTTTTGTTATACATGCAATTACCATTTTTATTATCAAAAGGGGATACATATTTTTTGGTCTGTAGATATTTTCCATTTCCGCACTTTCAATACTTTCATTTCCATGGGACGTGCTCCAGCTGAGGACAACAGGGCTCTGCTGCCTGTGGATTCCCCAGCTGGCCTTTTGGGTGGAAAAGCTGCTGTTTTGGCAGCGGGGTGGTCCTGGCAGGGATCACACCTCAGGGCTGAGTGTCAGAGGCATGTTGGAAGAGCTGGTGACATCCACATCCACCCGTGCCTGCCCCAAAACCGGGACAGCAGGATGGGATCATCCGGGACAGCGGGACGGGATCGTCCCCGTGCGCCAGCGGCTGCCCGGCTGTGCCACGGTGACATTGGCACGGGGTGATGGATTTCCCTTCCTGCTGGCACTGCATGCCTTCTGCGCTGCTAATTAACAGCGTAATTAGCAGGAGGGCCTGGCTGGTCTCAGAGTCTGTATGTCTCTGTGTGTTGGGATGACTCCAAGAGTGTAAAAGTCCTCGTTTCCCAATCCACGCGGCCAAAGAAGGAGTCAGAAATGAGTAGGATTGGCTTTTCTCAAGGTTGTTTGTTCTTCCTTATCTAGAACATTCTCTCTCTGCCCTGCTGAGCTCTGTCCAGCAGCTCAGCCATGGCATTCTGTCTACACTCTTGGGCAGCATTTACATTTTATACTTAAAACTGCCTGTGCCATGTTTACAATAACGTGCCAATATCTATCATTCATGTTGGACAGTGAGTCTGTCCTTAAACCAACAGAAAAGTGTCACCATCACACCAAGACATGGAGGGCAAGAAGAGGGAGAAGAAGGTGAGGACATGCCCCAATCCCTCCATCTTGTCCCTTCAAACCCCATTCTAAAAATCCCATAATTCTACTTTTCCACCATATATTAATTCAAATATCATCCTACTCAAACCCTTGTGGCTTGTAATTCCTCGTACAGAGCTGGCAGCTTTTTCCACTTAAAAAATCGAAGCCACAGGTGTTTTTGACTTCATGCCAGGGTCTGGAGCCAGCCAGGGCAGCCAGAGGGGTGTGCTGGGTTCCCACAGGCTGGAGGCAGCTCCCTCCCACGCCTGGCACTGGGCTGAGCGTGGTCGTGGTGCTGTGGTGTCTCCCAGGTCACTCTCTGCTCTGCATTCCTCATGAAAACATGAATATTTCACCAGCTGTGCGCATCCATCCCTGTCTGAGTGCCTTCATGCTGAAAGCAGAGATGTGACATCTCTCCCAGAGTGGCTGTGCCTACACGGGGTGTGGAGGATTAATTTTTCTTAATGGGCAGTCACAAAAACAGAATTAAACTTTCCTCTTCCATACACAGCATAAAAACCTGTCAGGGAATGGAGTGAATTGCACAGTTTTACTCCATTCTTCTTCCAACCCCAATGTTTTAGGTCAGTTACCACAGTGTGGTGATTTCCAAGATGGAGTTAATGGCTGTGAGTGCTTAATTATGCATATATGCATATAGTGTTTAATTATGCATATGGAGAGGAGCTAAAAGTATAACTAAGCATAACTTTATATATATATATAGCTGCAACTAAGTATAACTAAAGTTGGTATAACTAAATAATGTAGGTTCACGTCTTTTTGGCGTGCCCTGATTTTGTAGCTATCATCACAAAAAAAATGCCCCCAGATTACTTTTTTCAGCCTGAAGGCACGATCTGTCATGAAGAAAGGCTGGAAAAGATGAAAAAAGCTGCATCAAATTACAAGACCCATGTTCCTAAGTGTAAAACAACCTGAGAGAGGGTATTGTTTAAGCAAGGGAACAAGTTTTGGACCATTGTAGCCACACCTTTTGTTACCTGGGTGTTAAAAATCTGAATATTTTACCCATCTCTGTTTGCTTGAGCAGCCTCAAGCCCCCTGAAGACCCCAGGCTAGCACTAACCCTGGCACCCAAAAAGCACTGGGAGAAAGAAGACCCACTCTGAAAGTGCTTCTTGAAGCCACTGGGGCTTCAGAGCAGCCACTGAGGACAAAGTTGGCCTCCCCATATGTAAATAACACTGCCAGATGAACGTTGAGCAGAGCTGAGCTTTTCTGAATGAAAGATCTCTGCAAAGTTCTTTCAGCCTGGCAGCAAGCAGGGTGGGCTTTAGGTTGGCCCATTTATCTGCCCTTGAGGATGCTGTGATGGAAATTAGGGTGGGATCACTCCTTCTGGGTGTGCCAGTGGGTCACACAGATCCCCCTGCCCAGACCCCACCAGAGGAGGGTTCACTCTGCTGTCCCCAGGAGAGCCAAGCCCTGGCTTTGCAATTCCAACATGAACACTGAGATCTGCTCTAATTCCTAATGTTTATATGCCAGTCTCGGTGTACGTATTTCCACAAATTTTTCCTGCTGTGGTGGTTGGGAAAGGTGGTGATAAATGGGGCAAGGGAAGGAGATGGAAGTGTATTTCCTGGTTTCTTGGACTTTGATCTTTAGGTGTTTGTTGGTGTTTTGTGAATCCACTGGGCTTGAGCCTCCAGCTCTGGAAAGCTGATTTGGCTGACAGCAGCTGAAGACTTATGCCTAAGAAGAAAATCAAGTGCTGAAAAATGCATGAGCCTGGTAGTTGTCACTTGAGATGTGCCTCACCTTGCAGTGACTCCCATGGGATTTGTTATTGCCTGGAACCACCCAGGAGCATCTTCACATGGTGTAAATCTGTGCCCAAGGCATGCCAAGCCCAGCTTTTGCTCTAAATCCAACGTGTTGCTTCTGATCCTCCCTTGGCAGGGTGGCCTGGGCTCTCCTTGATTCCCCTGCTTGTGCACTGGAACTGGCCCTGTTCCCAACCCAAAACTGCCATCCCATGGGATGGGACAGCGTGGTGAGGACATGGGAGTGCCTGTCAGGGCTGGTCCAGCATAGTCATCGCTGAAAATGAGACATTTTCAGCTAAGCTACAGCAGCTTTGGGATATTTTGCCCTGTTCTCTGTTCACCAGCCAAGGACCTGAGTTGCCTTTGGAATGTTTTGTGGAGTGAAGCAGCAGCAGGACCTCTCCCCACTGAACTCGCTGCAGACTTTGAATTCACATAAATAAATATTTCTCTTGTCTCTCCTAGTTCACATGAATTTTCAGATCAAGATTCTCTCCATAGAACTGGTAAGGCTTTCAATGGGCTGCATCCCTGGATGCTGGTTCTGTCAGTGTGGCTGTAGAAGATTATTCTAATTATTCTATCTAAGTCCCAGATGTTGGAGGACTCTTCTGTCACATGTGTGGTTAAAGCATAAGCCTCTTCAAAAATACCCTTTAAAGGATTTGCCTGTTAAAATAATAATTTATTGTCCAACTCCAAGATGCAGTGAGAATGTGGAAGGAAAAAGCCTTCACCTTTTTTTAACCAAGTGAAAACAGAGTTAAGTGCTTGAAGGATGGAGCTGTGAGAGCACCCGTGAAATGATCTGTGCTTGTGAAACTTCACCCTCCTGGCAAGGAGGAGTTGGGATGTCAGGGCATTTGTCACAGCTTCCTGTCTCTGGCACAGTTATCACACTTTTGCCAGGCACTTACCCTTTGATGGATTCACTGCGTGAAGAAAAAAGCAACTTTTAATGTGTTTGAGATGAATAAATACAGATATAGACTGAACCCTATAATTTTGGGCCACTGGGTTTCCTCCCAGTGAGGGTGACAAGGTGTCCAATGACAACAAAAGGAACTTAGGTGAACAGGAAAGGTAAATTAGAAAATACATGCAGTGAAGGCAGTATTTCCTGCAAGTCAAGTATTTTCCAAGGCACAAGCAGTAATTCTGACACACACATTTTGTGCAGAGATAATTACTGTTTGCAGAAGAATGTGCAACATTTTATAGATGTGTGTTTTTATAAATGTGTTTATAAATGGATGTTTATAGTATGCTGATAATGAAATAACATTCATTTGCAGGTCAGCACAACAGTGGTCATGTGGAGCCAAGGTTTAATGTCAATCAAGGGGCAATTGCACAGGTAATGCCTGGAGGACTGGATCTGTGAAGTCTTTTCACACCACATTTAGGTCTTTCAATTTAATTACATTGCTGAATTAAATTGGATTTACTTTGTTTACAAGAAACAGCCAACAGAAGCATGCAGAACATTGTGGTACAGTTCTGCCTCAGCACTTGTACAAATATTCTCTGTTTTTCTGAGGAGTGCAGTGACACCATGGGTTTGGGACAGAATCCTCACATCCACCTCCTGTACAATGGGATTTCACTGCTCTGACCAGTCTTGTTCTCCTGTCAGCTGGTACTGAAGGAAGAGCTGAAGCAAAACTTCAGATTTTTAGTGGGAGTTTTTTACCTGAGAAGTCTTGTCAAAAAACTGAGCATAAGAGGCTTCCTTTCCAAAATAAGCTTACCAAAAGTGATGCATTCCAATGTTAGTAACATGTTGAATAAATCTCTCTCATATGGACTTCCGAGGAGACAGCCTTGCCATTTTTATAAATGCACTCACAGCCACTCAGCACATTTCCTGACCATGATCTTGCCTTGCTTTCAGTTTGTTGCTGTCAGTGCTTATTAATTTTAATCCTAAAACATCCTTGTGCCATATGTAAGGTCCAGTATCAAAAGGGATCTTTCAGGGTCTGAGCTGAGAGTTATGATTTGCTAATTTAAACAGCACAAACACACACAAAAATCTCTCTTTAAGTCAAGGAAAAACCTTGGGGCTTAACTGTGTCCCTTCTGGAGTGTGCTAAGATGCTGTTTATGGCTGAGACTCAGAAAACCTTTCCTGTTTTAATGTGAACTGGCAATCATATGACATGGTAGAAACAGTCATGCAGATATTGTGTGTGTTGTCCTATTTGGATAGGACAGAGGTGGTGACTGGAGTGTGAAATTTGAGAATGGCAGTTAAATTCTTTAGTTCTTTCAGAGCCCTGACTCAAATTGTCTTTTTGCTATGAAATTTGGATTATAAGGGATAGGAGTTTTCCGGTGTCTGCAGAGGACATGGAATCAGGGTTTTAGTCCTGATTTTGTAAAAGCAGGGATCCCTACTTGATCCATCCCATCCTGCAGCAGTATTTCCCTGATGTAGAGCCACGCTGCCTGCAGGTAGGTGTAAACTCAGACATCTCTCTCACCTGCACAGCTGCCCAGTGTGCTTCCAGCATGGTGGGGCCGTGTCCTTGGCACAACCTGAGTCCTTTCCAGTGGGCTGAACCCATTCTTAGAGGCCCTCTAGAAACTCTTCAGCTGATGGGGGCACTTTCTGCATCCCGAGAGGTGCCCTCCCCGCGGTGGGAAGGGAAAACAGCCTGGTGTCCCTCTGCTTCCTCAGCCTCAGGTATTCTGGCAACTCCTACAGCCACATCTTCTGACAGAAATCTCTTTGTGGGGTTCCCCAGGCTGCCAGCTACAACTGGAGCAGGGGAGGGCAGTGGGAAGGAGCACCCTGGAGCCACCCTGGGCTCGCCCACAGCCCCCTGAACGTCACCATGGATGGCACGCCCTGCATCCTCTTCTGGGCCAAGAGGATCCTGATCCGGCTGGAGAACCACCCCCAGATGGATTTGACAGAGAGGACGTTTGGAGCCCACGCCACCGTGGATGTTGGGGACTCCAACTGCAGCGAGGACAGTGCCATGTAAGGGGGATTCTGCTCTGCTGGGGGAGCTGGGGCCACACCACCCCGCTGGGAATTCCAGAGGGAATTCTGCCAGTGGAGCCTTTAGAGAGGTTTCAGCTTTTATGGTTTTCAAATCCTGTACTGCTTTAGGGTGTAACTTGAAAATCCATAGTCATAGCTGCTTTCTTCACATTTTGGACAGGCAAAGCAATCCCTCTGAGCCTGAAATTCAAGGACATACTACAGCCTCAGCACCAAAAGTATAAATAGAAGTGAACTGGGGGGAGCAAACTGGGGGTTAATAGCTTCATTACCTGGAGCTGGAATTGGATGATTAACCCCTAAATGCAAATGCAAATGCACCAAACTTACAATGTGTGAAAAACTTGTGACCATTGTTCACCTTGGGTGCAGCTTCTGGGAGGCTTCTGAGTGTCCAAGATGCACCTTTTGAAGGGCTTTAATAAATACCTGATTTTATTCTCTTAATCTTGTCCAGCCTCTGTTCCAGGCAGCCACTCCAAGGCATCAGGAGAGCATCCCTTGCAGAGGCCCAGGTTTTTTGTGACGATGTCCTGCCCTGCAGGCAGCAGGGTTTTTGTACTTTAAGCCCAGCCTGTTGTGGACACAAATATTCATTTGCTGCAGGGCTGTAGTCCCTCCTGGGGGCAGCCAGCCTTGCTCTCAGTGCCCCTGGGGCTGAAGTTCTGGGTCTGTTTTACCTCCAGCTGTTTTACACAGCTGCTCGTGGGGTTGCAGAGGGGATCCTGTGTTGAATGTGGGGCTTGGGTGCTGTACATGACTAATTTTCCCTTCATGGGCGTGTGCCTGTGATGCCTTTTCTGGGCTCCCTAAAAACAGAGGCCAGACAAAATGAAGGGAATTAAAAGTGGTTATATTTATTGAAGGACTTTCAGGTACATTTTGGGCAGGCAAAACCCCCCCCAAGGGCTGCACCCAAAATGAACCACGGGTTTTCACACTTTTATAAGTTTGGTCCATTTGCACACTGGGGGTTAATCTAACAATTACAGCTTCAGATAATGAAGGCATTTACCCCAAGTTTCTCCCCCAGGTCACTTTTATTTTCATTTCTGGGCCCTGGGGCAGTGAGGTGTCCTTGATTGCCAGGCCTGGAGAGGAATTGCTGTGTCTGCCCAAAATGGGACAGCAGCAGCTGGCCCTGGATATGGAGTTTAGAGTTATACACTAAAGAACTGCAGGATTGCAAATACATGAAAATTATAAAAGCTAAAATCCTACGGCATCACCAGCAGTGCTGTACAGGGTGCAGGTGTATATTTGGGAGGCCCAAAAATCCTAATTGAACATCAGCACTGATTCTACCCCATAAAGGGAGTTTAAATCTGTAATGACACATGCAGAAATAAAAATAACATTACCAAATGCAGCAGTTTCATTTATCTCCTGTACAACATTTTGCCTGTATATCTAAATGTGCTTTCACTGAAAAGTAGGTGTTACCTCTTTGTGATTGTACAGCACAAGGTGCACAGACATTTTGGTGAGGTTACCAAAAAGCTAAAAGTGAAATTGGAAAAGAGCCCAGCATCACAATATCAACAAGGAGTTTGAATATTACATCATCAGCATGTGAATTTACCCAGCACTCTTTTGACAAGCAGAGGTAGAGAATGAAACTAACTTATGTTAAAAATAAAAGAGTGATAACAAACATTCATCCCTCTCTTCTGGCCTACTTGAAATTTGAAAATAATCTTAGTCTGATTAGTAAATATTTAAACCTAACAGGAAATAAACTCAGGCAAAATTAAGGGTTTCAAACCACAGAGAAAGGTGTCAGATATAATAATCCAAGCTGCATTATTGTTTTTTTATTTGAATGGCACATTTGCCTCTGTCCAATCCTCAGTTATCTCTGACTTCCCTTTTTAATAAAGCAAGGGATGGACTGGATTCAATGTCCTGTTTTAGGGGACCAGTGTTACCCAAGAGCTCTAGATCACCTATGAAATGATGTGGCTGGCTGGTTTTTTATTTTGATTTTTTTTGTTTGTTTGTTTTAAAATATTGTTCTTTTTTTGTTGTTTTTTTTCTCAAGTATTCTTCAGCTTTTATTGTGGAGGCCTTTCAGAACCTGCACGCTTCCACTACGTTTTCTTTTTTTTGCCTTACTTGAACAGTGAGAATCTCCATGCAGGTTTTAAAAGGTAAAACATTACTTTTAAGCGAGGAGAATATATTAGCCTAATAATGTATTGCATTAATTAATCTGGTGGGGCCTTTCACTCTGCTGAACCTCAGGTGCCCAAGGCTTCTGCAGGTGAGCACTGCAGAGCTGCCAGGGCATCTGTGAGGCTGGAAGGAAGGAATGTGGAAATCTGGGCTCTCACCTCTGCTTTCTTTCATGCTCTGATATTTAAAGAGATGAGGACAAGGTGTCTGTTTACACTTTCTGATGACAGGCAGGGGTGATGCTTGACTGAGATGTCCTGGCTGGAGGAGGAGAACAGACATCCACTGTCAGCTAAGGTGGGAAGCAGTGGGATTGAGCTGTGTTGGAAGTTCAGTGTGGATTTCTATTCTTTCCACATACTCTGGGCCTCATTCCAATTAAGAGGTGAATGAGTATATTTCACTGGAGGAAGATTTAATCCTTTCGTTTTTTTTCCCCCACTGACTTTACGGGTAGACTGAGCAAAAAATTCCATGTATAACTGAGCTTAATCTTTTGTAGTACTTTTTCCTCTGAAGATCTCTGATTTTTTTTTCCCTAGCCTGATGTTACTTGCTTTTTGACCTAGGCTTTCCCTGAAGTTTGGTGACATTGGCAATCTAAAGGGACTTGTTATCAGGTAAGTTTATATTATAAAATCCTTACCAGATAATAACATGGTAACATACGTTTTTATGCAGTTACTTGGGGAATTAAAGAGAATTTGTTTAAGCAAAAATAATGTGAGAGAAACTCCTGTGTAACTGAAACACCTGCATTCAGCATGTCTATCACCTGACTTGTTTTATTGAGGAATTTTTTCTTCTATGCTGGATTTCCTAATCATGGAAAAAATTGTGTAGAATTGTCCCACATCTGAGATTTTAGCTGAATCTTGGTAATTCACTGTGGTCTGGGCATCAGACTGTGACCTACTTTATGTTTGCTTCTGGGTGATGGCAGAGAGCAGCATTTCTTGATAAGTGACTTCCCATACGCTGGGTGCAGGTACAATGACAGTGTTGCATTCGTATTTTCCCAAGTAATTAGGCAAAATCCCTTCATGTTCTCATTGCTTTGTGGGAGAAAACAGACTGCTCCAGCTTCCACAGCAAACAACCTCACACCACAGAATCCCAGGGTATTTGGGGCTGGCAGGGAGCTCTGGAGAGGATCTGGTGCAATTCCCCTGCCCAGTGGAGCAGTGGCACGGAACTGGGGCTGGGATGGCTCCAGACAGGGACACTCCCTGGGCAGCTCTGCTCACGCTGATAGTAAAAGGGTTTTAAAATCATGTGGATTAAGGGTTAAAAGGAAAAATAAACTTAGTAGGCCCTGGAAAAATAAACACCCTAAGCACATGCATAACTCGTACTTGCTAGAGCTGCACCATGTAGCTAGTACATGATAATTGATGTAATTGTTAGATGTGATGATTGTTTAGTAATTAAATATAATTACTGTTTAATCATAAGAATAATCATGAGAAACTGGTCAGTGACCTAAGAAAGATCACAAGAAACTCATATCAGTGTATACAATAGAACAATATAAGTTTAATAATTAATATGTGAGTTATGTAATGATAGAATATAAAATATGTTCAGCTCTAAAGCCATGTTGGAGTCAGATTTGGGTCTGTACCCCTGATTCCAGAGCTCTCAATTAAAGCACCTGCAGATAATCACATCCCATGATGATGTGTGTTCCTGAACGCTGACAACGCCAACTCGCGGAGTCGTCGCCAATGCGCGAATTTAACATTTTCAACCCGCTGACTGATTTTCTTACCCCCCTCTGCTCCAACACGGCGTCCCCAGGCTCTTGCTGACCACCAGCTCCTACCAGCTGTCTGTGCAGAGCTGGTTCAGCCTGCACAGGCTGCAGCTGCTCTACAACCACTCGGTGCAGGCCACGTTCAACGCCACGGGCATCCGCGCGCCCGCCACCCGCTCCTTCCGCTGCCAGCACGTCAGCAGCCTGCAGAGATACGACGCCCTGCTGGTCCCCAGCTCTGACAGAGACCTCTCCCAGCTCTGGGACGTCACCTTCATCGGCTTCCAGGTGATGCCCTGGATTCCAGACAGATGGTTCCCATGGATAGGTGGAGGGGAGGTTTTGCTTGTCTGTGCCGGGGAAGGGCTGTCACCTCCCAGGCGCGCCTCACCTGTGATGTTTTTTGGGGCCACCTAAAAACAGAGGCCAGGCAAAGTTAAGAGAATAAAAAACAGTTATATTTATTGAAGGGCCTTCAGGTACATTTTGGGCAGGCAAAGCCCCCCCTCCCAGGGGCTGCACCCAAAAATGAGACGCATGTCACGGGTTTTCACACTTTTATAAGTTTGGTCCATTTGCATATTGGGGGTTAATCTAACAATTAGAGCTTCAGCTAATGAAGGCATTGACCCCAAGTTTCTCCCCATAAGTCACTTTTATTTGCATTTCTGGGCCCTGAGGCAGTGAGGTGTCCTTGATTGCCAGGCCTGGAGAGGAATTGCTGTGTCTGCCCAAAATGGGACAGCAGCAGCTGGCACTGGATATGAAATTCAGAGTTATACACTAATGAACTGCAGGATTGCAAATACATGAAAATTATAGAAGCCAAAATCCTAAGGCATCACATGGAGCACAAAACAGAAACTAAGACTTTTCCTGTCCAAGGAAATTAAAGGCTGTTTTTTTGTAGTCTTTCTGCTTGTGTTCCCTCTATTGGTGAGTGAATTTGATTTCTTGTCATTGCATCGTTTTGAGCTGAGCGCTCACACTCAGCACCAATAACCGCACCACACGCCCAGGCATGGGATTCATCTCACTTCACTTTGATGCCCAGGAATTTTAACCTTGTGCCCTGATTATAGTCACCCCAGCCTGCCTCTAAAGCCACTGGGTAATTCCCCTGACCCATCTTAAGTCCTTATTTTAGGATGAGATTAATAATCTTCTGAAAGTGCCAATTCTTCTGCGTTTGACAATGAGGGAGCCTAGGATGGCAGGACTGGAGTGTCTTGAATTTAGATACCCAAGTCAGAGGGCACGAGGAGCTGAAAAAGGAATGGAAAAATTTTTGTCACTGTGTGAAAGTGAAGCAGACAGTCAATTCCCTGAGTGCCAGAGTGCTAATATTCATGTTAGCACTGAAGATACAAATAAAACTTGTTGTTTTCCATAGCTAGGTGTAGCTTCCTCTAGTTTAGCTGGTTTGCTGCCACATGCCACCCATGTGGAACTGGTGAGAAAAATCTTGTCCTAGGGCAGGCACCTGAGAATATTTCCTGGTTTGTCATGTTGCAGTTTGTGCAGTCTGAAGCAAAAGCTCTGGAGACTCTCAGCAAGTGGTGCTGGAGATGCACAGCTAACATGAAAGGTACCATGCTTGAAATTAAATATTGCTGAGCCACCAAGAGTGAGCGTGGAAGGTTCTGTTTGAAACAGCTGCAAATCCTTTGGGCAGCAGAGTGGAGGGGATTAGAAGAGCTGGCACTTTCAGAAGACTGACCTGGATAAACTCTGAGCATTCACTCCAGTGGGAGCCACAGATTTGTGCAGGTGTTAAATCAGAAATTCTTACTGCCATCAGGAGCAAATTAATGAAATACACAGTACTTTATTTGACACGACCCCTCTTGTTCTCTCTGCAGATTCAAGGTTTTAATGTCCAAGAAGGACGCTTTGCCTATGCCAGAGACTGTGCATCCTTCTTCTCCCCAGCAATCCTGATGGGGCTGGTGATGTCCCTGGTTCTGCTGCTGGTCCTGGCCTATGCTCTGCACATGCTCATCCACCTGAAATCCCTCGAGAGGCACTATGAGTGCAAAGCTTCTCCTGCCTATTTTGCACAGATGAAGGACAGTGACATGGGAGATGAGAAGGAGCCACTGAGAAACAGTGGAAACAAGTCCTATGAACTCAGGAACCAACAGTTTGGTAAAATCTATATTTAGCAGCGTGTTCTCAGAGAAACAAGAGGTGTTTTCTTCTGCTGGCACTGTTGTATGTAGTCTGTGCATATTTTTTTTTTTTAAGCACCTGATGAAAGGAAAAGTAGGTGACAGATTGTTTAGCCAGTCATCCACTGGTAATCATCTCAAAGATGCCTTGGGAAAGAAGGTGAGAAAAAAAAATTTCCATTGTGAGTTAGAGATATTCATGTTGTGGGACTTTAATTCCTGTAGCAAAAAGCCAAATTGCATAGTTCTTCATCCAGCTTACCAAGTCTTGAAGAGAGAATCTGTAATGACACTTTGAAATTAAATAAAGGCTGAAAAAACCCCCATAGCAAACTCTTTGCTTATTCTTTCAGAAGGCAAGATTCCCCCCCTCCCATTTTATATTTTCTGTGTCCTGAAAAAGCACATCAGTTTCTTTCTCAGGAGGTGTTTTCCTTTTATTTCCCACGTCACACCCCTTCCTTTCTGTCCCTATAAACTCCTTTTCCTACTCTGGAATCTCCAGGGCCACTTAAGGTGTGTTTTTATCCACTGCACAGATGAGATAGTGGCTGCAGGGCAGCAGCATCCTGGTGCTTTCCTGTGTCTAAGCTGGAGGTTTATCCCGAGGATCTGGTGGGAAAACACCAGACATCTGCTCACAAAGGCTTACCCTCAACTCCCCCAGCTCATCTCCGTGCCAGGAGACAGATTATGAGCATTATATCCTGTAATTCCAGGTAAATTTCTTTTTTACCAAATCCATTCAGTCTCCCTTGGAGGTTGCCAGATGGAAAATATATATAAACAGAGAGGTGGAAGCTGCCAGCAGTGAAAAGAATGCTGCGCTGTGATTTTCACTGCTGCTTCTGAGAGTTTAGGATATTGCCATCCCACTCATCCTGTCTTCTGTTAGGGGCAAAGTTTGGGAACTCCAAATTAGCCAAAATTTGGGCCTGATTTCAAGCAAGTAGGAGCACAGCAATGTTCTTAGCACTGTCATGCTTTTATGTGACAAATAATGGAAACCACAGCATGACAGAAAAGCAATCAAAAGATTTGCAAGCAAATGGCTTTTTTTTAAATTTTAATTTTAGATTACAGAATTAATTAGTTGTTTGAAGCCTTCGCAAATGGTGCTGTCTTTAGACACCTGAGAGATGTCCACGTGTGTTCTGTTAATTAGTACAGGTGACAGATTATATGTGGAGTCCTTGGAGATTAGTTCATCTAAGGCACTTCAGAGGGAAAAAAAATATATATCTTTGACATATTATCAGGTTTAATAGGCAAGCTTTTGAGGACTTGCCAAGGCTGCCTGTGCCCAACTGCTGCCAAACTTTTATCTTTTCCATGAAGGGAGCAAGCAAAATCATGACTGTCTGAGTGGGGCTGGCAGGATAGTTCTGAGCTGATGATTCATTTCCTTGCATGGTTTAAATGGGCAAATCAACACTGGATGCTGTGAGAGGTTGTACAAGACTGAGATTGGGAAAGTTGGGAATTTCCCTCTGGACCTGCCCCTCACTCCTCATCCCCTTTTCCAACCCAGCTGTGTTCCCTTTGCTTTTCCTTGGTTTTCAGGGTGAATATCTGCTGGCTTAGTGCTCGAGATGCTCAGCACTGCAAATCTCCAGCATGTGCCAGGCCATATTTTTTTTATGCAGAATTTCAAGGCTTGTGTGTGTGTGTCCCTCCCAGCCCCTCCTGAACAAGAGACAATAATTAGTACCTGATAAAAGGAAAGCTTTTTTTTTTTTAAAAAAAAAAGAAGTAAAAGAGAATGTGGATAAAAATGAAGAATAAAAATCCCCCCCCCAAAAAAAAAATCCCCAAAAATATTTCTTTCAGTTTATCAGCTTTTTCTAACCAATGGCATGACTAGGATGTCCTGGGGAAAGAGGTACACACAGTCCTTATCTCTGCTGTGACTTTTCTGGGTTGCAGCTGGCAGTGCCAGGTAATTCTCCTCTGCCAAGTAGCTCCTGTGTCATCACAGTTCTACTCAAATGACAGAAGAATTTAGAAAGGATAAATACATTAATTGAATTAGACAGACAATACGTTGTTGGTCACAGACTGGAAGGATGAGCCATGTATTTGTAAAAAGTTAATGATTCTTTGGTGTAAAAAGGAAAAAAAAATGTCTTAATCACAGTTTCTGTTTCCTGGCACCACATATAAAAACAAGCACCGTGGCTGAAAAACACAAAAATGTGTATTCTGACATTCCCATGTGAGCCAAGCAATCCTTATCAAATGCACATTTTGGAACAACAGAGACATTCCAGTGCCTTGGTACTAAAACTAGGAAAATTCAAGCTATAATTATTTGTGTGCTACAGAAATAAAATGCAGTGGCAGTAACAGAGTCGTTTATAAAATACAAAGTTTTTTTCCCACATGCATAATTCCATTTCTGCATGAGAACACCTCAGGCTTTCCAGCATGTATGTGCTCACTCAAACAAAAACCTAAGAGCATCTTTTCAAATCTGATTCAGTGTTCCAAATTTAGGGTCCCATCCACTCCCACTCGGAGCTAAAAGGAAAATTCTCACTTCCTTCAGCTCAAATGGGATAAATTTCACAGACTGTGATAATGCTGAATTGAACAAATGAAAACACTTGTTCTTAATACATTTCACCTGTAGTAGTTCAAATGTTGTGTAATTATCCCTCACCTCAATATCTGGCAATTTCACATTGGTAGGAAACTGGATTTTCAGGCAGCACATTAAGCACTGTTGCTTGAACTGAAGTGGTGGAGTTTTGGCTTAGCATTAATTAAAAATGCACAAGGAATAATCAGAGCTATTGTCACTGTACAGGCAGGGAGACAAACCATGAACCCACCAGCTGGCAATTAACACTGAGCTCCAGGGAGCCAGAAAAAATAGATTTCTTTCCTTCGAAGTTTTAAAATGGTGGCATTTCCCTCTCATCCTTGAAACACTGATTTTTGCCACAGCAGCTTTGCTGTTTTCCTTTTAAATCAAGGATTTACAAAGATCTGTGTGCAACCTCTCATTTCAGGAATTTTCCCCAGGAGCTGAGAGGGCATTTTCAGGGTGGGTCTGTTTGTTATAAACGAAAAATTAATCCAGCCGAATTAAAAATCAAAATGATTTTATTTAGCAATTGAAATCGATGTGTGCCAGCCACAAAGGAAAGGGCAGTGCTGAGCCCAGGAGTGGTGCTGGGTGAGACACAGGCATGACAACTACAGCAGAAGGTCTCCTATGTTTCACACTCACCATTCTGTGTGAGTGAGTTTTATATGGTTTATTTTGTTTGAGGCTGGGATTTCAGCCATCAGCCTTTTCTTTCCATTCAAAGTCCCACATATTCATAAAGTTTATTTTCTCTGTGTTGAGCTGAACAATTTGGTGGCTGGGAAGAGATGTGCATCCAATGGGCTAAATGTATTAACTTTTAAATGAGGTCTTACCAGAGACCATTTCCACATATGTGAGGCAAACTCCCCAGTGTTGATTTGTATGTTTTCTTAATAATGCAAAACATTACATACATATCTTTCTACTTGCCAAAGACCAGCCTAGGTCAAGGGTGGCTCCATGTGGTGGAAAAGTCTCTCCTCCAACCCGAGCTTCCAAAGAAAGGCTCAGCAGTCTCTGTTGTTGCAGTTTATTGCAAGTTATCTAAAAGATTTTCTCCTTGAGCTGCTGTGGTTTTCTCACAGCTCAGGCAGAGGCACACACACACCCTGACATCTTCTCCTTCTCCTTCTCCTTCTCCTTCTCCTTCTCCTTCTCCTTCTCCTTCTCCTTCTCCTTCTCCTTCTCCTTCTCCTTCTCCTTCTCCTTCT